GAGTTCAAAGATACTTAATGTGTGAAACCACGTAATGAGGATCAGGAGCTACAGCCTTTGTCCCGTACCTTAATTTTGGTTTTACATTGATGTAGAGTTTTAGGATCGTGCATGTATATACAGAGACTGATAACCCTTTTCACTTTTTTGTGATATGTTTTCAACAAAGCGGTGTCTTGCCTAGTTATTTATTTTTCATTTTGTGTGTTTATTGTCACGTTATGCGTTGTCATTCTCATTTTCTTGGCTTGTTATTTGTCTAAGAGCTTTCAAATATAACTTAGGCTCTTTGTGGCAAATAAAATAATTTTTCTATTATAAGCTCTTTGTGGCAAATAAAATATTTTTTTCTACAGAAAATATAATAATAAAATATTAAGTTTAATTAAACTTTAGTGTTAAAATATCATAACTTTAAAATTTGCATTTACTTTTATGCATGGTCTTTGGGTTGGTTTTAAAATGAGCTTATATGCATGAATATCACTCAAGTCATATTTAATATGCTCTTCACATTTGAGTTTTGATTAGACAATAACATCATTTTGCATATTCTGATGAGAAGCCGTGGTGCTTCTTCAACCTGATTAGCCAAGCATATATTTTTATCTAAGTGATTTTCTTGAGCATTTAAGGTGTTATAGGCTCCCCGACCTGGATGGAGTGTAAGTTTTTTATGAGGTGGTTTCAATTTTGTAGCGAAACCCCTCATTTCTCTTCTTTTTAGAGGTATCCTCGTTGCTTTCTCAGTGGGTATAAGCCCTACTTCTGTGAGGTCCACCTATATAGGGTCATAGGTCTTTAGATGTTTTGTTCTTTTGACTTTAAGGCTACCGAAGTTTCTTGGACGATACAACACATGGGTTAGTAATAAGGAGTATCAGGTTGGACTAGGCCGACTACCTTCACAACTAGGTAGATTTAGAGTCTTAATAGCTTGGGATGATGAATCAATGGAGTCCTAACAGTTAGTAATAAGGAGTATCAGGTTGGACTAGGTCGACTACCTTCACAACTAGGTAGATTTAGGGTCTAATAGCTTGGGATGATGAATCAATGGAGTCCTAACCAGGCTATCTCGACCCGATTAAGATCTCCTACCTTTTTTTGATAAACCCCTTTGAGCCCAATCTTCCTTTGATATTTCGTTGATTTCATCTCACGGACCCCAATTGCAGACAAATTGATGCTTGTTTGGGAAACATTAATTCACCTTTTTTCCCTAATGACACGCAGGATTTGAAGCATATGGATGTTCCTGTTTTGGCCCAGTTATTTTCTATGCCTCATTTATCAACAAACCATCGTCTATTTGTTGATGTGAGGGATTCACCTTTGGCTTGATACATGCTTTTGAAGAACTGAGATGTTCCTAGTTGATATAATTGTATTCCTTTGATATACATATTTCACTAGTTGTCACAAATTTGTAAGCCAGATTCTTGTTATTGAGAGTTTTCTTGGTTTTCCCCCAAAATATAATTAACCAAACAGACAAGTTCATTTCAGAGTTAATCTTGATCCCGAAACAAAATATTAATTTTGGTTCTCTGGTTATACGAGTTGCTTATGTAGGATGTTTTTGTGTGAATATGTGTTTGAAGGTCTCTTGGTTCGATCTCATTTTTTGACATGCACTCTTGACCTATCACACGAAGAAAACCTTACATAAGTTCTCCATATTTTTTTAACTTAGTTTGTTTGTTTAGCTCTGTCTTATTTTCTTTCTCTCCAATCTCTCCTCTTCTCTGAGTCATTTCGATGATATAAGAAAGATGACAAATTGGAAAAGAGAATTATAAGATGGTAATCAAACATGCTGGCGATTCCAAGTTCAAAAAAAACCAAAACATCGTAAATGAAATTGTTAATAAATCTGATCATAATCCTTCATTAATATTTTTGTTATGAAAAATATACTAATTGGAGTTCATATATTTTTTTATTGCATTTTATCAAACTTTTTTCAAACCAAGCACCTAGCTTTAAACTCGCATCTCAACTTTTGGTTAGCTTCTAAATTAACAACTTCTTCCAAGACGTCTTACTAACAGTTCTAAATTTACTGACATCTTCCACCATATTCGGTCGATTATTAATGATTATTAACATAATCGGCAATTGCTCTAGCAGAATGTCTTTCTTCTCACTTAATGCCTTACATTTAACCACTCTCATTGCTCATAGCCATTCTTAATTCCTTACTATTATAGGTTGATGGTATATTCCAATGAACTTAATGCCACCAATTTATGATTTGACTCTAGGCCAACAAATATTTTTATCGACACCCAACAAGTTCAATTTGATGGCCAAACCATTAACATTAGTTAATAAAAGCATTACCTCCTTCCTTTAAGCCTATAAAAGCACATTTCATCTGGTGCCAACCAGCAAATGTCATGTGTCCTCCTTACACAACTTTTCATTTCTAAAAAATGGAAGTTTGTCTTATTCTTAGTTAGTTGCAATCAGGAAAATCAAAAAAACATATTGCAATCATATGTAAATGTGTAATGTCTATGATATTTATAGATCATGCAACAATTAACATTGAACCCATATGAATTAGATGGACATGCATTCACCCAACTGTTTCCCTCAGCCTGCTCCTGTTGAGGTCTTTCTAATGGGACGAGGTTGACTTTCCTTGTATATTTTTTGCTGCTTTCATAATAAATACTTCCCCTTTTATCCTGGCATGAATGTTAAGTTATAAAGTTAAAACTGACTCATATTAATTGCATATCTTCATATCCCAACTATTTGTTATCTCTTTTATCTCCTCTAAAGTGGTATCAAATTTATTCATTCTATTTTACAGCACTTAATACTCTTTTTTAGGACTAACAAATAGCTTTATGTTTCTTATGCATAGTTGGGAAGTGTTTTTGGCTAAAAGCTTACCCTCTCCTTCCTCTCTCTAATTGCTACCACCCTCAACCGAGCAATATGTGGAAAGATTAAAGTATAAATATAATGGAAGGATTCTATTAGACTTCCAAAGCAATTTATTTATTTATTTATTTTAATTCAAGTCCTATTTTTATGGGAAGCTAATTATATAACAATTAATTATGTCATTGAACTCTAGCTTAGATTCAAGTCCTATTTTTATGGGAAGCTAACTATATAACAATTAATTATGTCATTGAACTCTAGCTTTAACTTTTTCATCCTACAACACTTGAAATAAGTGTTGAAGAATTTAAGGTCAATTTACTAAACAAATTTCATCTTAAAGTATGTGCCAACTTCACTTGAGGAAGAATTTATTATTTAGGGGAAATTACTCAATTGCTTGCAATAAAAGTAGGTCTGTATTAGCTCTTTGAGAGCAGATAGATGTGCCTTATGTTTTTTTTTTTTTTTTTTCTAAATTTTTACAAGATCTAAATCATTATTTTGCTCACCCACAATGTTTACAAAATGCTTGAGTTTGATGTGTAACCATAAAATTCTTTCGGTCAAGTGCAAAAGCTTAATATACTTCCTAGAGGTCAAAGCATGTGTATTTACAAACAAAAAATTTTTTTTAATCATCCAAAAAAATTTGTATTATATTTTCAGAGAAATTATTTTCAAAATGGACGCCTTAGCAAGATAAAGTTCAACATCTTGATCAAATTCCTAGAGGTCAAAGAATGTGTATTACAAACAAAAAATTTTTTGTAATCATCCAAAAAAAATTGTATTATATTTTCAGAGAAATTATTTTCAAAATAAACGCCTTAGCAAGATAAAGTTCAACATCTTGATCAAAACTCAAATTAATTTAAACAACCATTCATAAGTATAACTAAAATTTTATGAGATCATTTATGGAACTAATTGACCTTCAATTTGTTTTTAAATATAATTAAGCCATTTTTCTCAATAAAATGAATTCACCATACAAAAGATTATCCAATTATAAGATCGTTAAAGCACTCTAATATATAAAAAATAAAACTTATTAAAATAATCTTTTCAAGTTATCTTATAAAGTGTCTAGAATTATGACTAGCTGGATCATAACTCCCTCAAGAATTTTATTAATATGCTTAATTTTTAACCCTTGAGGGAAAATGTTTATAGACTAGTATTGGTAGGACAATGTGAGTTATAGAACTGTATTGATCAACATTTATAGTTGCCCATTACTACTAACAACAAATGTTAATTATTGTCACCTCCTAGTGCTGAATAATTTTGTGAACACTCAACGACCATGGTCAAAGCATGTTATCAACCTATGGAAACTCTCCTTGTCAATAACATCTATTCCTGTTGATAGTCATTTGTCTCTTGGAAACCACAAAATTCATCCTCCATCATAAATTGGACAGTTGGGACTTAGTTAAGGCAATCTTATTTAAATATATATCAATCCTAATATGATTTGATCTTTTATCAAGCTATGTTGAAGATTAAATCACTAAAGAAAGTCAACCCTTCAAGATAACAAGAGTTGTACTCAAGGTTACTTGGTAGTCACCTATTTTCTTAATTGTTCTCTATGTGGAAGCTAATGAAAAATCATAGATACCACTCATGAAGGTTTTGTTATCTATTGCCACGACGCCATATTATGACTTAAAAATTAATGCATGACGCATAAATGTTATATGCATATTTAAGCAAAAATCTTAACCAATTCAATACAATGTAGGCTCTCATTATTCTTCTCATTTATCAAGCTTTTTTCCTCTTAGAAACCATAAATCAACACCATGAACTAATTATCATGGTTTCCCTTTGGTTCTCTCTTCAAACATACAAAAAGAGATTTACAAGTGTAGCACACAATTTTTATATATTTATATATTTAATACTTATATTTTAATATTTATTTATATAGCACACCATTCTCTAACATCACATAACCCATTATCTAATTTTTGTAAAGTGGAAGACACATTTTTCTTATATAAATTTTCATATGATTATAACATGAATGCATACTCTATGTAAATATCAAATTTTAAATATTTGATATATGAATAAAAAATTGTGCAATATGTTTATAAATCAAAAAAAAAAAATTGAAAAAGAAGACATAAAATACTACCAAATCCGAACTCATCCAAGAGAACAATTTTAACTAGCACTACGGCTGTGCACAGGATCTCCAAGCTCTAGGCTCATGAATTCTGCCATCTTTACCCTGCTAAATCGCCTGAGAGCCGTCCCTCATCTCCGACCATCACCGGCACTCTTTACTCCGGCGGCAACGAGACACTTCTCCACGAAAACAAGCAGATCGCCTCCTCGCCCAACTCTTTCCTCAACCATCTATCCCTTAGGCCACCCCAGCATCGATCTCTCGCTGGAGCTCGACCGCTGGATCTTGAGCGGCAATACCATCCGACTCGTAGAGCTTCAGAATCTCATCCGCGACCTCCGTACTCGCCGAAGATTCAGCCAAGCCCTGGAGGTTCTGTTTCTTCCTCTCTTATCCCTCTCGCCCACCAACTGTTTGTCCATTTGCCTGTTTTAGTGATTTATTAGCTCATTCAGTCAATGCTGCATGGAAACAGGTTTCCGAATGGATGAAAGTTAAGTGGATGAAAGAGAAAGGCGGCATGTCGTTCATGGCCAGCGACCATGCAGTGCATCTTGATCTCATGGGAGAAGTTGATGGCCTCTCCGCTGCCAAAAAGTATTTTGAGTGCCTGAAAGAGAGGGACAAGAATGAGAAAACTTATGGTGCTCTCCTGAACTGCTATGTTAGAGAGCGCCTGATTGATGAATCTTTGTCCCACTTGCAGAAGATGAAGGAGATGGGAATGGCATCCTGCCCTCTCCCTTATAACAACATAATGTCTCTTTACACCAATACTGGCCAGCATGAAAAGGTTCCTTCGGTGCTGGAAGAAATGAAGAACAATATGGTCTTGCCAGATAACTTCAGCTATAGGATTTGCATCAATTCTTTTGGTACAAGATCTGACTTTGAAGGAATGGAAAAGGTTTTGGAGGAAATGGAGCATCAGCCACAGATTATCATGGACTGGAACACATATTCAGTGCTCGCCAACATGTATATCAAAGCTGGGAACAAGTTGAAGGCTGTTTCTGCGCTGAAGAAAGCAGAACAGAAGCTAGAAAAGAAGAATGGTCTCTGTTACAATCATTTGATCTCACTCTATGGAGTTTTGGGAAACAAACAGGAGATGTGGAGGTTGTGGGAGCTTCAGAAGGTGAACTGTAAGAAAATCATCAATAGGGATTACACCACCATGCTTGGAGCCCTGGTGAAGCTTGGGGAGCTGGAGGAAGCTGAGGCATTGCTGAAGGAGTGGGAGTTAAGTGGCAGTACTTATGATTTTAGAGTTCCGAATGTACTTCTTGCGGCATATCGGCAGAGAGGCTTGATGGAGAAGGCTGAGGAGATGATTGATGAGTTTCTGAAGAAAAGTAAAACTCCACCATCAAGTAGTTGGGGGCTTGTTGCCGCTGGCTATGTTGAGAAAGGTGAGTTAGGGAAAGCTTTTGAGTTCATGACTAACGCTCTTTGCGTGTATTCTCCTGGTGGTGGGTGGGTGCCAAACCCTAATGTTATAAGGAGCATATTGCAGTACCTTGGTGATGAAGGAGAGATAAAGATGGTGGAGAATTTTATAGGGTTGCTGAAGAATGCAGTTCCTGTGAATAGAGATGTGTATCACGCATTGATTAAGTGTAATATTAGAGCAGGGAGTGGAGTAGGTAAGATTTTGGAGATTATGAAAGCTGAGGGTGTAGAACCAAATGAAGAGACCCAGGTAATAATTTCAAGTTTCGAAGGTCAGAACTTTGCCTCAAGCTCGTAGAATTTATGTTGTGAAATTGGATGAAATTTAATTTGTAGTTGTAATGAAATATTTCTCTCATTTTTTTATTTTTTTATTTTTGTTTTTGTTAATTTATCGTTAGTAGAATCGCACGTATTAGTTTGTGTTCTTAGTAGATATACAGAGTTTTAGCTCACCTCTCAAAAGAGCTCTTCAGAGTAGTGGGCAGCCCATAACTTAAATACTGCTTTTCGGCTCGACACTTAGCCGATGTGGGACTTTTTGTCTGTGATATTCTCCTCCACCCAATCACGTGACACCCTTTGTCACGGATCTGGCAGGCGGTAATCTGTTCTGATACCACTTGTCAACTCCCAGAAGAGCTCTTCAGAGTGGTGGGCAGCCCAGGATTTAAATATTATTTTTCGACCCTACATCTAGCTGATGTGGGACTTTTTGTCCATGACATTTATCTAACTATTTTAATATGGCATGCTAATGCAAGAATTTCATGATATGTTAAGGTTTAGTTTTGAACCATAATGAAGGTTCATTTCAATTGCTTTATATGTTATTTTGTGAAGTAATTTTATTAGAATTTTTTATTTGGTTTAAGATATCAGGCGTTTACATACATACCACCCCATCCTATGTATTTATATATCTACCATCTAGACTTTTCTTTTTACATTTATATCAACCAAATTGTCCGTATCACATAAAAAATCTGAAAGCTATATCAAACAGGGCAGTTGTAGCTATTTGAAAAACCAACAGTGAATCTGTTGGAAAAGAAATTTCTTTTTAAAAAGCCGCGAGGCAATTACAATTTTATTTTATTTTCAATATTTAAGAATGTAACTTTTTGACGGTCACCATATTTTAACAGTTCAGGCTGAAAAAATTTATTTTCTATCACATAAGTTTCTAAAAAACAGTAAAAAAATAATTTCTCAAACAAAACTTTAGTGATAATCTGAAAAACAAAGCAGACAAAAAACTATCCAAACAGACTCTTAATCTTCTAGAAATTCAAATTTAAAAATATTATTTTTATGTTCATTAAAGTTATCTAGTGATAATCTGAAAACAAAGCAGACAAAAAACTATCCAAAAAGACCCTTAATCTTCTAGAAATTCAGATTTAAAAATATTATTTTTATGTTCATTAAAGTTA